GGTACGAGCGACCTCCATGACCAGGCCAATGCGGCGCTCAGCAACCCCATTCTGCTGTGGAGAGGCCGGAAGCGTGAACGACTGCTCAATGCCCTGCCCCTGACAGTAGGCCCTCAAGAGGTCGGAGGAAAACTCCCCATCTCTGTCAGAGTGCAGACGCAGGACAGGAAAGTCCGAGTGGAACCTCTCGCTGAGCTGGAGACGGGCAGCGCGGATCCAAGGGATCAAAACATCAGGGACTTCACCCTTGGTGCGCAAGGGGAAGACCGTGGTGTAGCGCGAGTAGTCGTCAACAACTATCAAGAAGTACCTCTCGTGACCCTGTCCACGAACGCGGGCTGGGCCCCACACGTCCAAGTGGAGCGTCTGCAGGGGAGCAGTCGTCAGGGGAAACGAGGAGGAGTGAGGAGCGGCGCGCTGCCGCCCCTCGACACAGGGAAGACAAAGAGGAGCAGGCGAGGGTGGGAGGGGAGGGAGAACCCTGGGAAGACCAGAGACAAGGTACCGGGAGTGGATTCCACGAAGGCGCTGCACTGACGGGTGACCAAGGTGGTGGTGCCAGAGGACGGTCTCGTGAGCCAGGGAGCGACACGAGCAGGGGGCCGACAGCTGACCTGACGCAGACGCAGCTACCTGAGGGGACTCAGTGGTCAGTGTGTACAGGTCCGACCCCGGCTGCCGAGTGAAGGTAGCCAGGTGGCGACCCGTCCGAGCGCACGTGCAGTGTGTCACGCGCTCGTAGGCAGGGGTGAACTGGTGGACACCCCTGTCCTGGAGCGCACTACCCGCCACCAAGTTCGTAGAGAACGAGGGGAGGTAGAGACCTGACAGTGTGCCCGACGGGACCGCAGGACAAGGGAGGACAGTGGTGGAGGTCGCAATGACCGGACCCCCAGAGGGGTCAGCGAGGGAGACTGCAACCGGCCGAGCAAGCTGCTCAAGGGCCGTGCGGTCACGAAAGAAACAGCAAGAAGCACCTGAGTCCAGTGTAAAGGTGTGCAGTGCCTCAGTAGACGCAGTACCAGAGGGCGCAGACTCACGAGCACCTAGAGCAGCAGCCTCACCAGCACCTGGGGCAGCAGACACACTAGCACCTAGAGCGGCAGCCTCACCAGTACCTAGAGCAGCAGACTGGATACCGGGGTCAGGCGGCACACACAGGTGACAGGCACCCTCAGTACTAGTAGACAATGCATACATGGCAGTGAGGATAGCATCATAGTCAGAAGCAAAGATATCTACCCTCTGCCTAAGTATCTCCACCCAGTCGGGGAGCTCAGCGTCGTCGCCAAACTCTGTACGCCAAGCGTCGCTCAGACGGGCGAAGCAGTGGGACTCTGTGTGACCACGCGTCCCGCAAGGCTGACCAGTCCAGGCACCCGTGCTAATAACGTACGGGCAGCGAGCAGTACTCAGCGACCCTCTACTCTGAGCGTACCACTCGAAGCTGCTGGGGCGAAAGAGTCTCGCGCGGACGACGCTGCTGCTGCACCGGGCCACTACAAGAAGCTCCCGAACTACCGACTCCAGGACGACTCCCACTACGGCCACCCCGACAACCCCAACTGGCGTACCACTCAAGAAGCTGTTGGGGCGTGAGGGACACACGCGGACGGCCCTGGAGCTGCATCTGGCCACGCCAGGAGCAGCAGTAGTAGCAGTAGCGGCAGTAACAGCAGTAGCAGCAGGAGCAGTAAAAGCAGTAGCAGCAGTAGCAGCGGTAGCAGCGCGGGCAGGGCAGTGCTCACCAGTGGTGGGAAGGGCAGGCGCAAGACGGCGGCGACAGCGGGGCCGCTACAGCTGTAGGGCGGGGTCGGGCCGCGGCAGGGAGCTCTGCGGCAGCTGCTGCAGGGCGGGGCCGGGCCGCGACGGCAGCTGCTCCAGGGGCCAGGGGCGGCTCCTGCAGTGGCGGCTGCTCCAGGTGGCCAGGGGCGGCTGCTGCAGAGGCGGCTGCTCCAGGGTCCAGGGGCGGCTGTAGGTGCGGCTGCTCCAGGGGCCAGGGGCGGTTGCTGCAGTGGCGGCTGCTCCAGGGGCCAGGGGCGGCCGTCCCAAGGGCGGTCGCGGGGTAGGGCAGGGCGCCGCGGCGAGCAGGGGCGACTCCGCGCGGGTCCCAGTGGCGACGCGCGGGTCGCGCGCGGGCGTCGCGACGAGGCAGGGGCGACACGCGCGGGTCCCGGTGGCGACGCGCGGGTCGCGCGGGGGCGTCGCGACGAGGCAGGGGCGACGCGCGTGGGTCCCGCAGAAGCGCCGCGACTAGGCAGGGGCGACGCGCGGGTCCCGCAGGGGGCGTCGCGACGAGGCAGGGGCGACGCGCGGGTCCCGTAGAGGCGTCGCGACGAGCAGGGCGACGCGTCGCGGGGTCCAGGGGCCGCGAACCCTAAACCAGGGGCGGCGGCGCGGGTGCAGAGCAGGCCCGCGCGCGGCCTGCAGGGCAGGGCGGCAGGGTGGCTCTCGAGGGCGCGAGTAGGCAGGCGCTCGAGGGCGCGGGTAGGGGCGCACGACGGCGCTAGAAGGGGCGCTCGACGGCGCTAGTAAGGGCGCTCGACGGCGCTAGAAGGGGCGCTCGGCTTGATTTTAACAGTTGTCAAGGCCGTTGCTGCCATTGGGACTGTTGGCATCGCTGTTGGCGTCGCCGTCATCGTCGCTGCTGCACGTGTCGGTACTGCATGCGACTGTTGCGGTGTCTACTGCTGCTGCGTCTGCCTCGCCTCGTCCGCATCCATCTCGCCTTCCAGCTCGCTCCAGACCCGCTCATCTGGTGCAGTGCTGCTACTTGCGTCGTCCACGACAGGCGACTCCTGGCGCGCTTCACCACGCGCCTGGTGTAGTTCGGCGCTTTCCTTCCGTAGACGCTCCATCTCTGCAGTCATGCCCTGCAAGTTGGCCTGCATCGCACGGAACTGTTGCATGAACTCGTTAAACTCGGTCTGTTCCATGTGCCTCAGGCTTCGTCGAACGGGCAGGGGGTGGCTGGCGATTTTTCTGACTTCGGTGAAGGCGTAAATGCTATCGTAGTCGGAGTGGAATAATCGTATCTATTCCACGGGCCGACCGCTTTACAGCCCACCAAGTCTATCGCCCCCCCTTATACAAACTACCCTGGAAACGCGAGGGTAACCTAGGAAATTAGGCTCTGATACCAAGTGTTATGAGTTGTGAAAGGAAGAGTGCGCGGAAGTGATTACAACGTCTGAGAAAACAACGAGGCCTATGACTATTATAGCAATGCTAGCTAGGCCGAGGTCGCGGGGTCGCGAGATGGTTGGGTGCAGGTTCGGGGTTGGAAAACCCGAAGGCGACGCGGTGGTGGCTCGGAAGGCGAGGTCGGCGGACCGAGCCTGGTTTTCCGAAAACCGGGGTTGTACGCGTATAGTGTGACCCAGTAAGGAATCCGGAAAATTCCTTACACCACACGTCCACATAGGCCGAAACCCGTCCCCTGACCTGTCATGCTGGCACCTGTCAGTTGAAAACCCAAGGGTGATAGGGAACGAATTAGGGTTTGCGGTTTCACATGGTACAGAAAAATGAATTCGTGAGGAAATGACGATTCGAGATTGAAATCACCGTATTTCACCCCTCCCAGGACGACTGAGATTAATTTCGGTGATAACGACTTGAAAACGAGGAAATGAATAATGAGGATTCCAGATTGACTCACCGTATTTCAAACCTCCCAGGACGATCAATATTCATTTCGAAAAAGGCAAATGGCTTCATATCAGGGATGGCAATGACTTGGGTGTTATGATACGACCCGACGAAGCTAATCAACCCATCAACTCTTCCTCACCGCATCCAACTCCTCGCAGGACACTCACAAGACACGGTAACGAATCAGGAATCACATTATAGCGGGGATGCGGCTACACCTTTTACCTACTCGGCCGGTCGATCTGGAAGGAGATGTATTTGCGAGTGGCGGCGGGGCCAGCAGAATCGCCTGTAGCGCCTCATATTCCTCTTCGACGTGATAACAAGTAAGAACAACAGCACAGCTACCCGGTCGATCCCAAAGGGAGATGGATAAGCGGGTCGCGGCGGAGCCCAGCAGATTCGCACGCACCGCCTCCAACTCCTTCCAAAAAGCACATGGCATGTGGCGCAGTGCTAGATACATATTCTACCATGTCACGACAATGCGATTGTAAAAAAATCCCGTTTGAATAAATGCTGTTGTTGTGTAATGATCTGCTTTGGGAATCGCGACGCTGGTAGTGGGTGGCCGCAGGTAATCTAATCGAATCTGCTAAGAACTTCTGAGTGACATGTATTAGTACCAGGAAAAGACGGTAGAAGCAGGGATCTGGTCTGGTAACGACTTGTAGGGAAATCGTGCTGCTCGTGGCATTTCAGCAGCTCCTCACCTCAACTCATCCAAATTAACCCAGCCCAACCGAACCAAATAACTCAGCACAACCCATAGCTGCAAACCCTGCTCCAACCACCAGCCGTCCCTCAGTATTGGTGCCTCTCGGTACAGTAGTGGCGCCTCTAGGTAGTTAGTGCTGGCTCTAGGTAGCGGTGCCTCTTGGTAAGGGCGAATGACTGCCAAGCAACAACCACATGTTGCGGTGCCGTCGCGTGCACTCCATTCGTCCTACTGCTGCTGTAGCAGCAGCCGTTCATAGGCTTGTTTTGTCCTATCACTCTCACCTCGCAATTCCATTTAGCGCACGCGCATCGCTCTCATTTACGAACCAGCAGTGAGTGAGTCAGTATGTTGTGTGGACGGCAATCGGCGCGATATCGCATAGCACGTGCTGTGGGTGACTTCCGACGTGGCAATTGCCACGTCAAACACTCATTGGGCGAATGCATACCGAGCACTCACCTCGAGGACAAGCCACCGCCATCTAATCTTGAAAGCTCAGTGGTATCGCCTATATTCATTCCCTTACCTTGCTGGAAACCCATCTCACGTTTAGTAGTAGGCTTCGGTTCTCGGGAACAATTTTCGAAACATAGTCTCATAGTCGTACTCACGCGCCTATTTACACATGGCGGACGTAGATTACCCTCGAGTCGCGCGTTCCCTCGTCGTTCCTCACTACGCGCTGCGCGCTCACGTTTGTACCACGGCGTGCCTCCTCCTGCTACTCCTCTACTGCTCACCGACGTCGGCTTTCCGGCCCATATCGAGGCAGATCGTATCGAAGCTGCCTGCTCGCCGCGGATCTTCCGCGCGGATGGTTCCGCCTCGCGTGGTGCAATTTCTCGCTGCGCGGCGGGCGGAGAGAGCATCCGCGGGGGGACGCAGAGGCGGGTACTACAGCCGGTCAGCGAGTTCAGCGGTGCGCGCATCATCCTCCGCAGCCGCGCCGCAAGCTTCGGCGGTTACCACGGCGGCTCTCACGGCGATCTTCACGGCCGCGCTGCTACCTATCCCGGCGAAGAAGCCGAACGCGTGCACGTGGCCCGGCGTGAGTTGTGCCGCTAACGGCGGCGCTGTTGAGCAACTATACTTCGACGACTACATTGACTTCGACTCACCGCGGCCTCCCCCACGCACGCCTCGCCTTTGCAACAGTACTGCGCGCGTACCCGGCGTAAAATTCCCCGCAACCCTCTCCGATTCTATCGGCCAGTTGACGGGTCTCACGAATCTCGGGGTGTCGTATCTCTGGCTTGCTGGCTCGGTCCCGCAATCGTTTTCGAGGCTCGATCTTAGTTATAACTGCTTCGTTGGTCCTCTTCCTGTCGCCATTTTTCGCATGCAGCGGCTTTCCGAGGTGTTAGCCTCCCATAATTTCTTCTCCGGCGGGTTACCACAAGGTCCTGCTGCGTACGCGGCGACTTCGCTAGAGAATCTGGATCTCGGTTATAATAGGCTGTCCGGGCCAATCCCTGCTGCGCTCGCGACGCTGCCGATGCTTAATGGGATACTTATGAGCTCGAATCGCCTAACCGGGAATATCCCTCCTGCTATACTGGAAAGGGAGGGACCAGAGATTGATATCATTCTGGATCAAAACCGGCTTTCCGACGACCTTAGCCGGCAGCAAATCAAGGCGAATATTTTTTGCGTAAGCGGGAACAAGCTTTCTGGAGATTTCAACTCGATCAACTTCGCGGGTTTTTACGTGGGCTTCATCAACGTTTCCAATAATTTGTTTTCGGGCTCGTTCCCGCAAATTCTGTGCCGTCCGGGCGCCTCCATGACAACTGATTTTTCACGAAACCGCCTGACAGGAGCTGTTCCAGCAAACTGTTTCAATTCCGAAAATACTCCTGTTGAGCTCTTTTTTAGCCACAACAATTTCTCGGGCAGCTTGCAGCCGTTTACAAAGCTGCCGTATCTCTCTACCCTAGACCTCGGATTCAACAAGTTCACATGGAGCATTCCCCAAGGCCTGACCCGTCTTGATCTTCAGACCTTAGACCTCAGGAGAAACGCTCTCACAGGTGAGCTCACTGGTAAACTGCAGATCAGTTCAGTCTACACGGTAAAAACCAGAATTTATGAATTCAAACGTGTGTTTCTCTGTTGGGACCAACCACTCTGAACCACTCATTTGTTTTCCTCTGTTGAATCTTCTGTTCACTCCTCCACTCTTCTCGTTCCGATTCCCCTGCCCCCTCCCTCAGGCCCCGTAACTTAACTTCCTCCTATGCTACCTCCCCTTTCCCGGACCCCTCAGGCACCATCCCCGCCTCCTGCCAGGGCGATCAAGCCCTCTCCTTCCTCACTTACTCACTACTATTTCTTCCTATTTTCCTGTCTCTCCCCTCCCTGCTTCTCGTCCCTCGCCCCATCATCCCCCCCAGGCACCACCCCCGCCTTCTGCAAGGGCGAGGACCCAATGTTTTACCTCAATCTCGCCTTCAACGCCCTCTCCGGCCCGCCCAACCCGCTCTCCTCCCCCGCCTGCGCCGCCTCCCTAGAATATCTCAACCTTGCCTCCAACCGCCTCTCCGGCCCCATCCCCGCTACAATCAGCTCCTTTACAAACCTCACGCGCCTCCGCCTTGATAAGAACACCCTCACGGGAGCGATCCCTGCTGGTGTGAGCAATATGAAACAGCTGCGGGGACTCGGATTGTCGTATAACAACCTATTGGGGAAAATTCCCGCGGTTTGGCCGGCAAAGGTACGGCAAGTGCTGCTGGCGGGGAATCGGCTGTCAGGGGCTGTTCCGGCTGCTCTGAGCAAGCTGAAGCTAGGCTCTTTTAATCCAGGAAACGACAATTTGTGCGGGACGCCTCTGCCTGCTTGTTCTTAGAAGTTAAAACCATCCCTACTTGTGGATATAACGCATGCTAATTTGATACACATACCGCATGTTTCCGACCGATTGAACTGGTATCTATATATTTGTATACTATATCTCTATAACCACTGTATTTCTTGCTCAAGAGGCTCTTTCAAGCCAGAAAACACAGCTTGTGAAGAGCACTGCTGCTTGCTTGCATCAATTCAGGAGGACCCCCTTCACCCCCCACCCACCCACACCACCTTTCCATCCCCCCATAGTTCCCTTCCCCTCTAGTCCCCCTAATCCCCCCATCACTGTCCCCAGTCCCTCGCCCTGCCTTTCCTAACCGCCCCACCCATGTCCTCTCCCCACCCCCTCTCCCTTTCACTGGTCTGCTCCTCCTGCCAAACTCTCTCGCTCTGAATCGAGCCGCCTGCACTCACTCCACTCTGCTCCTCCTCCCACGCTCTCTTGTTCAAAGTTGGGCTGCCCGACCCTCCATCTGGACCGAACGCCCAGCCCGGGCCTGCGCCGAACCTTCTCGCAGCCTCGAACGGAGGCTCCAGGTTCGGGAAAACGCCGGAGCAGGCAGCTAGGGACGGCATGGTCCCCACAGCACAGCGCAACCCAGTTGGCAACAACCTTTCACCTCTTCCTCGAAGGGAGTTGCTCGGAAAGATTCCTCCTCCATCCAGCCAGCAAGGCTGCCTGCTGCCAGCGTGGCCGCTTGCCTGCTCCGGGTAGTTGCTCACTGGCCAGCCGAGAGTCTGGGGTGGGATGGAGAGGGGTAGGGGGAAGCACAAAGTGATGAGGTGTGTTACCCTCTGCTCTGCATCCTTGTTGCCTGCTGCCAGCATTGCTGCCTGCCTGCTCCGGTAGTTGCTCACTGGCCAGCTGAGACTCTGGGGTGGGATGGGGAGAGAGAAATGGGGAAAAGGAGGAGGAAAGGGGAGAGGGAGAAAAATAAGTGTGCCCCTTATTCTTGGCCTGTTGACTTCTGACCCCCTGTTGACTTTCTCTCAACCCCCATGACTTTCTCTCACCCCTCATTGACTTTCTCTGACCCCCTGTTGACCTTCTTTTACCCCCCGTTGACTTTCTCTGACCCCCGTTGACTTCCGCTGATCCCCCGTTGACTTTCCATTATCCCCCGTTGACTCTCTCTCTGACCCTCTCTTTCCTCCCAACCACCATCCACACCCCTCCTTATCACTTTAGTGACAGCCAGTCGCAGCACTGGCAACTGCACCAGACGACCGACCCTTTCTTTCCTCCCTCTCGACCAACACTTTCATTCGCTCCCTGTGTCAATCTCTCCCCTTCCCCAACCACCATCCACACCCATTCCTCTCACCTGAGTGACTGCCAGTCGCAGCAAAGGCAACTGCAGAAGGCAAACAGCCCTTGCTTGCCAGTCGCAGCACTGGCAGCTGCAGAAGGCGATTATGGGCCAGGGCTGGGCTGGGGAAGGAGGAAGGGGAGGAGGAGGGGAAGGGGGAAGGGAGTGGGAAGGAAAGGAAAAAGGGGAAGGGGATCATAACATGAGAAGTTTAAGCACCGGCAGCAGCAGCATACGATTGTGGGCCAGGGATGGAGATGGGCTGGAAAAGGGGCAGGAGAAGGGAGGGTGGGGGTGGTGGGAGGGAGGAAGGTTAAGGATGGTATGCGAATAACTTTCTGGTTGAAATAACGAAATTCTCAAGGCTAATTTCAAGGGATGCGAGTAACCATTGATGATATGTGCTCAGAATCATTTCCATGACAGTCACCTTCGTTACAATCACAATATGCCAGCCTTACAGTGCCGGACGTCAACCAGAAGTCCAGGGAAGCCCACATGTGCCGCCGCCGCCACCCTACCCCCACCACCGACCGACCCAGCGCTGGGTAGCGATTGTCACATGGACCACTCACGAACCTGCATGCATGTATCACGGGCATGGAAGAAGGGGGAGACTTTTGAGGCACCTCAAAACACATGTGCCGCCACCCTACCCTCACCACCGACCGACCCAGTGCTAGATTGCGACTGTCACACAGACCACTCACGAACCTACACGTGGCAGGGCATGGAAGGAACAACGAGGAGAAGCACAATGATAAAAAAAATTCGAGTAATGAAGGACCAGAGGACGGTGACAACTCGTGATCACTCAAAACCTCTCAGGACCCCTCTTGAACACGAACCTACACGTGGCAGGAATCAGAAAACGGAAGAAGGGACAAGATGCGGCAGCGTATGACTGGCAGGCGGATCACGAACCGCACCGAACCCCTCAGCACATGGCTGGAAAAAATCGTGATAAGGCAGTGCAACCCTGCACAAAACCCCTCTGGCTGATTGCACATTACATGAGATGATGACCGGCGGAGCACCAATGGGAGACATGGAGCAACTGTGTGGGGCCGCCTGGAGGTGGGGGAGTGGGTAGAAGACGGGTGGAATTCAGGGAGGGCGACGGAAAAGGATAATTCCGAACCTGTCACATTCCGAACCGAACGTACATTGCCAAACCTGAGTTACAAGCCTAAATGCACGAGCTTCGGATCCTGCAGCAGCACGCAAGTGAAACAAAATGTTCGTTATTGCGCTATATACATATAGATAGATAAAGAAATAATTATATATAAGTAATAGAAAAGAACTCATCCGTTCTAAAGTGTAATGAGCCTTTGAGACACGCCTAACCCATCCACACTGAGGCCTTCCCCAGCATCCCCAAACCTGCATCCCCGAAACTGCATCCCCAAACCTACCAGAGGTCCGGGTCCTGCAGCTGCACGACGAGCATGCCAGCTGTCACGTCCACGGACACGGGAACCCGCCCCCCGATCTGCCATGATGCCATCTGGCAGTTCGAAACCCAAGGGCGGAATGGAGGGGAACGAATTAGGGTTTGCGGTTTCACAGGTCACAGAAGCATGAATACGCGAATAAGAGGGTATGAGGACACTTAGGAATTTATTCACCGTAATTCACTTCTCTCAGTACGATCAGACTTCATTTCGGGGATAACCCATGGCTTCATGTCAGGGGATAGAACTATGGCTTGGCTGCTACGGTGTATCTACCGAAGCTGCTCGACCCATGGAGCTCTTGCTCACCGCATCCAACTCATAGCAGTACACTCAGAAGACACGGAAACGAATCACGAATCGCACTACAACGGGGATACAGCTACACCTATTACCTACTGACAGGTCGATCTGGAAGGGAGATGGATTCGCCGCGGGTCGCGGCGGGGCCCAGCAGATTCGGCCTCACCGCCTCCCGCTCCTTCCACGACGCCCGGCATGTGGCGCAGCGCTAGAGACAGTTTTCTATCCTGTAACGAATGCGATTGTAAAACATAAATTGAACAAGCTGTTGCTGTGTGAGGATCTGCTGTGTTATCGGCTAGTGCTACATCGCAAAAACAGGGATGGTTGAGGGGTAGGTTTAGTTTCACGTGCTTCGAAGCTGCTCGACTGAAAGCTACTGACAACCTACCTCACAGCTGCTTTGAGCATGGGCGCTTCGGGAATTGGCGGAATGATGAGAACGTGAGATTGCGTGAACGCTTGTGATTGGATGCAGATTCATAGCTACGAGAGAGCTGCACTGAGCGAAATGATTTGGTTTCGTTTGCACTTCCAGTGTTTGCATCGCCCGTTTCGCCCGATGAATGGTTTCGGGTGTGTTTCTCTGAGATTCGAAACCCCTCTAAGAATATAGTAGCTACATGTTTCCAGCAACTATTTCTAGATGTATTTTGTTAATAAGACAATTTGTTGTCTAGTGTTGTTCATTCAGAGTATGTTGTTGTTCTTAGAGGTTTCAGAAACTATCATCTACCAATATACAAAAGTAATCCTAAGCGTCTATATGATTCTTATGAATGATGTACATGTCAAATTGAACCAATATGTTATTATATATTTCTCAAAATTAGTAACCAGCTTCCATACACTTGGAATGTGGTGACTCGTTAGATAATCATGAAGATTCATGCAAAAAACAACTACGCATAAACGACACCATGTAATGCTAAGGCATGGCCTTGCACGCTTTTTAAAGTGGTGCATGTTTGTGCGTTCGCTGGCCTGAATCTGTGCTAGGATAAATCTGTGCGCAACATGTCACTGCGCCAACGTCTGGATGCCTTTGTTACCACTATTTCTTCACACAGTTCTCTAATACATTCTATTACCTAGCCATAGGAACTGGTTTGACCTCGTTCGCACAACTACGCAGCACGTGACGCATGTTTGTGCGTTCGCTGGCCCGAATCTGTGCTAGGATAGATCTGTGCACAACATGTCACTGCGCCAACAACTGGATGCCTTTGTTACCACTATTTCTTCACACAGTTCTCTAATACATTCTATTACCTAGCCATAGGAACTGGTTTGACCTCGTTCGCACAACTACGCAGCACGTGGCGCATGTTTGTGCGTTCGCTGGCCCGAATCTGTGCTAGGATAGATCTGTGCACAACATGTCACTGCGCCAACAACTGGATGCCTTTGTTTGATAAGAAACGAGGAATGAAATGACTAAGGGAAAGTTGGGTACAAATGCAAACCCTAGGAAAACTGTACCCCATATGTGCTACCCCATTATAGCCTACAGTAGCTATGTCATATAAATCTGACACACCCCCATAGGCAAAGTGGGGGAGAACAAGGGGTCACAAGACCAGTCAAGCAAAGCAAAAACAAGCTCAGGGTGGATCACAAAGTCACCACACATTCCGAGCACAAGTTCAAGGCCACAAGGCCAGTTCACATGCAGGATTACATATATATATAAGGCTAGACAAGCAAGAGCAGGTGTATATATATATGCAACAGTACAAACAAGGTCAAGGGGTGAGCAAGTGAGGCAAGGTAGGCACAAGACCCAGCTGAGTACAGAAGCGCTGATGATCACAAGGCGCAAGTGCCTTGGTGAAGATATCAGCAGTGTTGGCCTCAGAGGCCACGTACGCAAGCCGCAGCTGACCACGCTGCTGTAGCTCACGAGCAAGGAAGTAGCGGAGAGCAATGTGCTTCGTTCTGTGCTCCAGTCTCTGCTCTCGACACAAGGCCAGCATGGCCTTGTTGTCTACGTACAGTACTGGAGGAGAACGAGGCGGCTCTCCGAGGTCAGTGAGCAGGTAGGTGAGCCAGCGAAGCTCCTGTGCAGCCATGGCCCCGGCGTAGATCTCAGCCTCACAACTGGAGCCGAGAACAGAAGACGAGCGGGTAGCCCGCCACGAAACAGAGCCGGAACCAAGGCTGAAGGTGTAACCCTGTGACGACCGCTGCGTAGCCTGGTCGTCAGCCCAAGAAGCGTCTGCGTGCCTAGTGAGGACCACTGGACTCTGCCCTCCAAGCACAAGCCCCATGCCCGACGTACTGCACAAGTAGCGCAACACCCTCTTCGCTGCAGCCATGTGTGTTGAGTTACTAAGTAAGAGTAAGCTTAGGTTTTAGGTAGGGCCTAGGCTTAGTAGCCTAGGCCTAGGGGAAGTCGAGGAGGTTGTGCCAAGGTGAGAGTCGAGAATGGGAAAAGTGATGTTCACTATAGCACTAGGGTACATATAGTAAACAGAGCATGCAAAGAAGGTGCACCACCAACAGTTTATAATAACTACACTAAACTACAGCTACAGGCAGTTACATATAAATTCTAACACTCCCCCATAACTGCCTGCAGCAGGAGTTTGTGCAGAACACAACCTGCAGGGGTATACCAGCAACAGCAACAGCAGGTACGGTAACAGAGCAGGTACAGCAGCAAAGGGACAGGCGACAGCAAGAAATTCCTGCCACCCCCTTACTCTCTTCCCCCCCCAACCACAGGAGGGGCAGCAGGGAGAGTGAGGAGGCGGGCTGGCTCTGGCTGGTCACCCCCTCCATTTCCTCACCCTCCCCCTCCCCCCCACACTGCTGCAGGAGCAGCAGAGGGGGGAAGAGAGGAGAGGTGGAGGGACGGCTGCTGGTTGGTCTCACACCCGCCACCCCAGTGCCACTCCCCCGGCTCCCCCACACCCTCACACCCTCCCCCCCAGCGGCAGCTGCAGCAGTGGGAACGAAAGGAGGAGGAGGGGAAGGGAAGCACACCACCCATCACCCCAACACCCGCCACCCCCATACCCTCCCCCCCACGGCTGCAGGGAGACGAAGGAGGAGGGGGTGGGCGGGGAGAAAGCCGCAGAGCGGCTACAGAGGGTCGGCGCGGGTAGGTCAGGGGCGGCTGCAGTGAGTGCAGGCGCGGGGTGAGGCAGAGGCGGCTGCACCGAGTGCAGGAGCGGGGGCGGCTGCTCCAAGGGCAGGCGCCGGGTGGTGCAGGGGCGGCTGCAGCGAGTGCAGGCGCGGGTGAGGCAGGGGCACCGCCGAGTGCGCCAGGGGCGGGTACGCAGCGGCTCAGGACACCGTCGCAGGCGCCAGGGGCGGTTCCGCGGCGGCTCAGGGCACCGTCGCGCACCACGGGGCACGTGACGGGCAGTTTAGGGCACCGTCGCATGCCACGGGGCGCACGACGGGCAGGGCACCGTCGCGTGCCACGGGGCGCATGACGGGCAGGGCACCGTCGCGTGCCACGGGGCGCACGACGGGCAGGTTTAGGGCACCGTCGTGTGCCACGGGGCGCACGACGGGCAGGGCACCGTCGCGTGCCACGGGGCGCACGACGGGCAGGGCACCGTCGCGTGCCACGGGGCGCGCGACGGGCAGAAAAGATGTCACTCGCCACCCGGGGGCGGGACAGGACGAAAATCGCCACGCGCCCGAGGCGCGCGACCGGAAAAACAGCAGCGGAAGCGTGAGGCGGGCCCACAGGCCAGGACGTAACTCGCTCTAATGCCATGTTGAGTTACATATAAATTCTAACAATGTGCTCCGGTCTGTGTCTCCCAGGAGCAACATAGCGTGCAAGAATGCTAAGAGGGTATGCAAGGTCAGGTCGTGTGCAGGTCATCAGGTACATGAGGCAGCCAACAAGCTCTGGGTACGGGCCACTCGACTCTACGGACTCATCCGAAGGCAGAGCTGAGAGCGAGTGGCGAGTAGACAGAGGAGTGGCCTGAGGCGAGGAGTACGTGAAGCCGAAGCGCTGAAGGACCTGCTGCACCATGTGTGACTGAGTCAGGGTAATGGTGCGGCGTGCTCTGTCCCGGATGATCTGCAAGCCAAGGTAGCTACGCAGTTCACCCAGGTTTGTGCACGTGTGTCTCTTCTGCAGCTCGGACTTCACGTGGGCGAGTCCAGCAGTGTCAGCTGTGGCGAAGACCAAGTCGTCGACGTACACGAGGATGTAGAACGGCGGCAAAGAAGTGTCGGTGCGCAGAAACAGCGACGGGTCGGCAGTAGAGGGAGCAAACCCAAGAGCCGCAAGTGTAGTCCTCAGTGTGTCGTGCCACTCACGTGGTGCCTGGCGGAGACCGT